GATCATGTATGATGTCACCGACTTGTTGGACACGCAGTTGATTAAAACAGAGGAGTGGATCAACCTGTTTCATAATTGTTAATGTTTACAAGAATGTTAAAACTTTTTATATTTTTTTTTTATATAAGATGGTTATTAAAGTAAAAAAAATTGTAAAAAAATTATTCAAGAACTGATGCTTTACACGTTTTGCACTTATATAAACGGAGATTATGATGTAGTTAAACAGAGTCATGTGACCATGTGTCCTTCATCCCCTTAAATGCTATTTAAAATGAATTATCTATTTTCTGCGTTATTCTGTTAACTTTATGGTAATGTTTTATGTTTTCCTTGCAAAATTAAAAAAAAAGTCTGGAAAATGTATCTTGCTTATTAATATAAATGTGTCATGTGTATCAAAATGAAAGATTAAAACCACCTGTATATGTGCCACTTGAGCCAGGTAAGAACATCTTCCAGTAATATTTAAAATGTGCTCCAGAAGATATATGTGCCAGGGCATTTAATTTTACTTTACCACCCAAATAAATGAATTTTTTTCTACTCAACAAATGACAGGCATTAAATATTTCCTACTCATCAAAAACCAAATGTTTAATGACTTTCATTTTTTCTTAGAGAGTTACAAGTAATTTGATTGTCACTTTTGTTGCACGATGAAGTAACCATACTCGATAGTCACTAAATGTATAGAAGTTCACTCATCCATAGATATCAATAGTGATGCTTTTTAAGAAATAAGATATCACTTTTAAACTTTTATTGGGATATGAATATGGGTTGGTCCTTTGATCAAATCCCATTAAGCCTGAAGGTAGATTTGATCATGTACCAACCCATATTTACACCCTGATAAATGTTTGAAAATGATACCTTATTACTTATACTTACATTGAGACTGATTTACAACAAATGCTTGTGTACTTAAGTTTTAAACCCATCAAATGATTTTTTTTCAAACCTCAGCGGTATAAATTGAATGTGTTGAATGTGTCTACCACTTATGACATCACTGTGAAATTACGTCAATCGTTTATAACTGAACAATTTAAGGACATGTGACAAACCTGTTTATATGCAGGATTAAATACACCTTGTTCAGACAGTGTTATCGCTTTGTTGTGAATATACACTCTGATGTGAATGTATACAAATTCACTTATGGACAGACACAGGGATGAACAAGAAGTTGACATCGGATTCATATAAAAATGAATCCCGCCATATTGCATGCCTCAACAAAGAGTAGTTGCTGAGAAAACTGCAAAGAAAATTTGTTATGTATGGTACGGACAGACACAAAGATAAACAGGAAGTTGACATTGGATTCGTACAAAAATGAATCCCACCATATGACATGCCTAAACAAACAGTATGCTAAAGTTTCAAGCATCTGCAATGAGTAATTGCTTAGAACACTGTGACAAAAATTTGTTATGTATGGTATGGACTGACGCACGCATAAACAGGAAGTTGACATCAGATTCGTACAAAAATGAATCCCAACATATGGCATGCCTCAACAAAGTGTGTGCTAAAATTTCAAGCATCTGCAATGAGTAGTTGCTGTGTAAACTGTCATGAAAATTTGTTATGTATGGTACGGACAGATGCACAGATAAACAGGAAGTTGACATCAGATTCGTACAAAAATGAATCCCACCATATGGCATGCCTCAAAAAAGTGTGTGCTAAAATTTCAAGCATCTGCAATGAGTAGTTGCTGAGAAAACTGTAATGAAAAATTTCGTTACTGACAGACAGACGGACAGCTAGACAGATGGACACACAAGAGTAAAACAGTATACCTCCTTCTCCTTCGGAGCGGGGATATAAATATGTACTAACTGCATAGCAGCAGTTGTTGTGCTGTTACAAAGATAAACCTATATAAATCTAAATTTTGGGATAATACCAAACCAAACCCAGTTATATGAAATTGTAAACCTATAGGGTTTGAGGCAATTATTTTAATCAGAAAATAAACATATTAAACTATTTACAATGTACTTAAGATTGAGTGCATTGACCTATAATCCAATCGGGATATGAAAGTGTAAGACTTTTCCGTAATAATAAACAAACCTGGTAATTGGATTAAGGACAATGTAAGCTACCAGGATGTTTATCTATCTTGGGACGACGATGCAGGAACAGTAATGGAACATTGCTAAAAATTATCTTAACATTATATTAACTTTTGCACAATACTAGGATGTTGGACTGAAGCTTATTAAAGTTTATGTTTCAATTACAATTTATTTTATAAAATACCAGGATTTTGTACAAATTTATTGAATAACTTGTTTACTTGAATCTGATTTGTCTATTTCATACGTAAATGAGTATTATGTATTGTACATTATAAAATACGATCTACGGCGCTCTTCGGGAGAGCCACTATACGATCGGCTGTACGACTTACAACTTTCAGTAAATAAACTCTTTGCAAACATTTTGGTTTCATTGGCTTACATCGTCTAAGTCAATTTGGTGCCCGTGACCAGGATCAGCAAAGTACTGTAAGATGTCGAACGCGGAAGGAAAGTGTGGCAAGGTAGGACAAAACTTTCTGAACCAGAAGTATCTGTAGCCTGACCAAATTCTGCATTTACTTGGAATTTTATTATTTAGGAATATTTATACATTTTGGCTTATATTTTGCATTGTTAAAACAAAAGATTGATCATGTTGATAACTTAACTGATTTTAAATGGGGAAAAAATCGTCCAAAATCGTTTTCATTATCTTCAGTTATTTCTTTTTCTTAAAGAAAATTTCAAAAATACAACAAAATCGAAATATTTAACAAAAATAAGAATTTTTCTTTATGGAATGTACATACTAGGTATAAGTGTGTATTTTACGCTCCTTATAAGTATTTCTAGAGTGAAATATCTTGAATGGCAGGCAGGAGAAAATGGTACTGAAGTTAATGTCAGATTCCTTGTCACATTTTTAATGGAATTCGAAAATTGACTAAATCTGTTTTGAAGTTTTGACCCAAAATCTGACAATAATGCAACAACAATCAACAAACATTGGATTTTATCGTGGACTCCATTTGAGGTATTTATTTTTTTATGACTTGGTCTGATACCAAGGGCAGAGATAACGTCTGACCCAGTGTCTGTGGGTCCGTCATATGGGTTTGTACTGATCCTGATTTAAATTCGCTTAGAGAATGCGATTGTGAAGAGGATAGTACCATGTTTGTAGTTTAAGTATATCGACTGTGGAAATCACAAGAAGTCGTGGAAATGAGGAATACGACAGGTGATAGCAGTCATTTAGACGATGCTTACAGATGAAGAAAACGCTGGAAACTCATGATATTTGTAACTGATTTCTGTTGCATTATTTTATAGCTAGATTTGTTAATTGCAAATTCCGATGTACGAGAATATAAACTGTAAGACTGAACTTAAATAGTACATGTACAAGGTATACTGATGACTTTTTTTTAATCCCTAGGAGTGTTTCCATTTCATGAACTGGTAATGCGTAACAACTTGCATCACCAACAATCCTGCTTAAGCAAAGGAACCGAACAGTATTCATTCCATAATACACATCCATTTTGAGTAAAAAAAGTGAAAACGTATATCCATATTTAATATACTATATCTGTATATTCCACAATATACCTTAATCCTCTTGAGAACTCTACAGCAGTGAAACAAATTTGAACAAGAAGAAGGAGAGAGCCCAGAAAAACCCATTACATCCAATGACCATTATGAGCATAGTGTGATTACTCATGTGAACTGTGTTTCAGTGCTTCCATTCTTGTGAAGGATTAATATTGTTTGTTTCCTACTGTGAATCATGATGAAATAATTGTCTTGTTTCAATTTAGAAATTTCCTGCAGAAAGTTCTATTTACATGGGGACGAATGTAAACCTATAGGGTTAGAGACAATTATTTTAATCAGAAAATAAACATATTAAACTATTTACAATGTACTTAAGATAGAGTGCATTGACCTATAATCCAATCGGGATATGAAAGTGTAAGACTTTTCCGTAATAATAAACAAACCTGGTAATTGGATTAAGGACAATGTAAGCTACCAGGATGTTTATCTATCTTGGGACGACGATGCAGGAACAGTAACGGAACATTGCTAAAAATTATCTTAACATTATATTAACTTTTGCACAATACTAGGACGTTGAACTGAAGCTTATTAAAGTTTATGTTTCAATTACAATTTATTTTATAAAATACCAGGATTTTGTACAAATTTATTGAATAACTTGTTTACTTGAATCTGATTTGTCTATTTCATACGTAAATGAGTATTATGTATTGTACATTATAAAATACGATCTACGGCGTACTTCAGGAGAGACGCTGAGAGCCACTATACGATCATCTGTAAGACTCACAACTTTCAGTTCATAAAACTCTTTGAAAAAAAACGACTATTTTTGGTCATTGGCTTACAAAATATCAGTGAATTTAACAGCCCTAGTGAAATAAATTTGTTGAAGAAATATGGTGTTATTTATAAACAAATATTGGGATACAAATACAGGTTGGTCACTTGATCAAGTCCCTTAAATCCCAAAGGGCTAGCGCTTTTTGCTAATTTTGATCATATACAAACCCTTTTCTATGTCCATGCAATAGATGTTTAGAAATGTTACCTTATTACTTATATTTACATTTGTGACTGACATACTACAGATGTTTGCAGTTATAATCTGAAACTCAAATATTTAATTTTCAAAATTAAATGGTGTAGGTTGAATCCATGAAAAATGTCAACAATTTATGACGTCTCTATGAAACTGAGATTAATCATAATGTCTTCACAATGAATTTGTGATCATGTGTCAAACTGCACCTATTCAGTGTTAGATACATATTGCTAAAATAGTGCTATGTAAGAGAAAACATTTGCGAATGTAAACAGTATGTGCTATTGTTTATATACAGGTATCACTGTATTACGCCACTTATATATGAATCCAGAGTAAACTCCACAAACCTATTCCCTCTGTGCCTCCCCAGTCTGCCGAGACAAACTCCATCCTCTGAGATCCGAGTCGAGCATGTGAGCTACCGAGTCGAGAGTGAGCACACAGGTACTGTAACATGTCGTGTATTGAGGCCACAATGGAGAGAGAGAAGGACAGTGCTCGGACAATCTTATCATCAGACAGATTCTTAAACATGACTAGGGCCTCTGTATGGTGAGGAATAAACCACAGGTTCAGGACATGCTGGCCATCATTGGTCAACAGCTGCCGCGGACGCTTCTTGTCCTGTCTGGATGACATTACTGGCTTAAAATCTTTTCTATTGATCACATCATACATGTCAGAGCCAAAATACAGAGTTTGTAAGGATGATATGAGAGCTAATAGTGATACATTGAAACAACAGTAAAACAATTAAGCTACCTTAGAAAAGGTCAAAAGTAATTAAAACAAAAGACTCTATTATATTTTGTGAAATTCTATACTCAGTAGAAATAAATCACTTTAATCAATTACATTATAAAGAGAGTGAAGAAATCTAGTTCAAAAACAAAAAAAGTATGACACTGATAAAGAAAAATTCTAACTTTGGATCTGGTGTGAGTCCCTCAATTTTATTGGTGCCTTGTTTCTTCTCATATGGATCTCCAACCATGAAGTAGGTTTTTCTGTCAATTAAATTATACCCTCTAAAAATTTCTTTTCCTTAGTAAATGGACATTGAAATAAGGCATTTGTTTTGATAAATTTTCAACTAAACAACCTTTTCAAGGTGCATAAATAATTGCAAAATATGTGTTACTTATACAGTGATTTCCTTCTATATTTTAACATTAGCACACCAATGATTCTCATGTCTATCATACCTAATGTTAGCCTAAGGGAAGTCCTGTAGCTATTTTGGGAAGTTTTTATACCTGATGTTAGGGAAGTCCTTTAACAGTCTGAGTATACTGTTGTAGTAAGCAATCAGCTGACCTCTCAAACTGTACTGGGTCATTCTCTGGTTGAAGCGATAACAGAACTCTTTGATTAAATGTCTGGAAAAAAATAATCATTTAAGTCTGGGTCATTCTTCATGGAGCAATACCAGCTATTGTCAGCCTGTTTAAACCATTTACCATGTTAAATCTTAATTTTAATTCTGAAGAATCCATTCTTCTTTAGCAGTTTTGCAAACCAATGCAACAAGTTTGCTGCCTTTCTGATAAAAGTCTACGAAGAAGTCAAAAGATAAAAGAAATTTCAGAAAATAAATACTTGATGATTAGGGTACACTAATACAGGGTGTCCCAAAATATATGATACCATTTGAAATACCTGCCACAAACAAATCCATTGGCTAATTTCTTTGATATATTTGAATAAGTATATTTTTTTAGCAACAAAATATTCCAAAAAAAATTCCCACACTTATGACATTTCAGTGTATCAAATTTACATCAAACTTTTGCAAAAAACTACAATTTCAATCAAAATGAATCATTAAAAGAGCTAGCTACCCTCATATACAGACTGTAATTATCAATCCTAGTCTTAGGTTACTGCTGCTAAACCCGAACCAGAATCCTTAACATATATAAAAGGTTCACCTCTTTTGAAAATCCAGAAGTTACTGACGAGACAGGCACTGTTGTCTCAAGTTAAGGAACTTTGTGCAATGTCTAGACATTATCATTACACAAATAGAATGTCATTTAGAGGGCATCATGTAATAGCATAGCATTTTTCATAGTGAACTCATTTTGTTGTTTTCTTTTTAATGACTGTCAAATGATGTGAATAAAATTGGACAGTATATGCAATGTTTATAATGCATTTGTTGCAATCCAATATTCATTGCATTAGGTTTTACAGAATCTTGAAATGGTATCATATATTCTGGGACACCAGACCTCACCTTTTGGCTTTCTTTGACTCCTCTGGGTTCATCAACACATGTCTCATTTCATTTCTCTTCTTCACAAAATCATTCAACATCAGATCTCTGCTTGGAGTCTAGAAGAGATTCAAAAGTAGCCTCAGATGCAACTGGATCAAATACACATCATATTCTGTGTTTAATAATAATTTTGACAACTACTTAGCATTTTTGACAAATCTGACAAATCATTTCCATGACAATGTGCCATGAATTCATTGATATTAATGAACAATGAATGGGAGACGACTCACTTTTTCAAGCTGTATTGAAACAAAGGCATCTGGGGACCTGGCAAATCTCAAGCTCTGGTCATGTGACAACTTTGCCCCTAGGGTAGAGGCCCCAGTTCCCCCAGAAAAACTTGTCATCTGGGTGACAGAACTTTTCTCTGACTTGGTCTCCGAAGGGCTGGCTCTCCCACTACTGCAATGCACTTAGTATCGTCAGTTACAAATAAAGTATCTACTCAATTTGGTTCATACTTCTCTCATAATTCTAGGAATAATCTGAATATGTAAGACTAAGTCTACCTTTTGTGTATGTCCGGTTCTTCTATTAGTACACAAGCACTGGTCTGCAGTGCTGGAGATGACATTCTTACACGCCTTCTATTGGTACACAAGCACTGGCCTGATAGACAGTGCTGGAGATCACATTCTTACCTTTCGTCTTCTATTGGTACACAGATAGACAGCACTGGAGATCAAATTCTTACCTTTTATGTAGGTCTGGTTCTTCTATTGGTACATAAGCACTGGCCTGACGTGCTGTAGATCACATTCTTACCTTTTGTCTTCTATTGGTACACAAGCACTGGCCTGATAGACAGCACTGGAGATCAGATTCTCACCTTTTGTGAAGGTCTGGTTCTTCTATTGGTACACAAGCACTGGCCTGAAGGACAGCACTCGTGATGGCATTTTTCTGAACTATCTGTACTTGTAGAATGACCTTCAGGTTCTCAAGGCCACTTCCTTGTAAGATCTGATGTAAAGATACTCAATTAATACATTATATAAGCATCAATCTTCACTATCAGCATCTTAAATCCAAAATTTCTCATCAAAAAATGTCTGAAATATCTTTTCCTGATTTATCATTGTATTTCTCATATTAAAAAATGGAGATAAAGTACTTCCATATAAGAGTAAGTACTCAATATAAAATTACTTCCATATGGGAATAAGTACTCAGTATAAATCAGAAATATGAAATAAAAGTTTTACATCTTCCATGGCCTCCCTGGTCCTAAAACTGAATCTGCCAATCTGGGCCTCATCCAGCTCATTGATAGCTAGTGGTTGCTGGAGGGGGACATTCATTCTGTGGAGAACATAGATTTTAGGTGATAGTTTTGAAAGTAACACTATTACTCTGATGCACATACAGTATAGAATTCTTTACTTTTCCTTCCAGACCTTCTAACACTTGAATCAAACATACATTTGATTTTGTGTAACTACAACACAAATTAAGCTGTGCTCTATTTATAAAAATCAATTTGTAAATATCAAAGTGAAGCAAAATATCCTCCAAGAACTACTTATTTTAACATAATATATATCCAAATATATTCTTCAATTAAAGGAGTATAACATGTATATAATATTTGACTAATTTTTCTTTACAATGCTCATTCTGACACAGTAGCAGAGTATAGGTTAATATCTAATCCGAGATTCCTCTGACTCTTACCCCCAATTTTATATTTTGACATGTGGGGAGAGAGAGTCTGAGTGGTATACTGAAAACCCTGGAATTCCCGATAACTAAGCCGTTACACCTCTAACTCTTACCCACTTTTATAATTTGACATGTGCTGGGTGGATAGCACATCAAAAAATAAAAACAGGGTAAGACTCAGAGAAATCTTGATATACTGTAAACCAACTTTTATTCGTGTGCGAGAAATATTCGTGAGTTTCACGACCTATTTTAACTCGCGAATAATAATCGCCGCGAACCATTTATTTTGCTTTGTATTTGTAGAGAAAGTTTCCTCAGTCGTGAAAATTAATCGTTGCGGATTGTTTTCAAACTGAGGAATCGCGAATAAAAGTTGACGCGAAAAATAGTTGGTTTACAGTAATCACTGACAGGGTAAGACTCAGAGAAATCTTTATATTATAGTTACTGTAATAGTTCACTGACTTGTACACAGCCGAGTCGTCCTCCTGTACATCAGACATACTGATAGGAGGGGGTTTCCCAGCATCGTCCTTCATGGAGGCTGATTCAAACTGAATAGCTCTGATGTACATGTGGTAATCACTGAATCCCATCTCTACAGCCTGCTTCTTGTAAATCTGAAATCAGTGTACTACATGTGTTATATTATATATTTATAACAGATAGATGTTCATGTCCAAGGATATACAGCATTTAATTAGTGGTAAAATGTGTAGGTGATGTACTTATCTAATCAATGAACGTTTAAGTATTGTATGCTGTGAAAGTGGAACTTACCCCAGCTAAAATGCCTGTCTCCAGAGCGGCATCCATTAAACGATGTCTGCAGGTCAACGTCTGAAAATCAAATACACTGATAATTTTATAATCAATAATTATAATATCTTTTACAGCACATGCCTGTGTGTACTGCTAGTATGAGTTCCCATTTTTATGTGATTCAATGTCCATGTTCAGTAATTCTAATGAAATGGATCACAGAGTATACTAGATAAGTGTTTGTCCTACAAGAGAATATTTATTTTTTAAAAAGTCCAGTCATTATTAATGGAAGCCCTACCTCCAGTAGTCTATTGATAGCACCCATCATACTGAGTTGTCTGTCCCTGAGATTCTTCCTGGTTCCCTCTTCTTCCTTTTTGTCCACCATAGTTCTAGCCATCATACACATAAAGATAGGATCCTCCACATAAACCTCAGCAAATAACTAAAATAAAACATACACATTAAGATAGGATACTCCACATAAACCTCAGCAAATAACTAAAATAAAACATACACATAATGATAGGATCCTCCACATAAACCTCAACAAACAACTAAAATAAATATAGGATCCTCCACATAAACCTCAAAATTACTGAAAAAAAGATAGGATCCTTTATATAAACCTCAAAAAATAACTAAAATAAAACATACACATAAAGATAGGATTTCTTCACAAAAACCTCAGCAAATAACTAAAATAAAACACATATAAAGATAGATTCCTACACATAAACCTCAGCAAATAACTAAAATAAAACATACACATTAAGATAGGATCCTCCACATAAACCTCAACAAACAACTAAAATAAAACATACACATTAAGATAGGATCCTCCACATAAACCTCAACAAACAACTAAAATAAAGATAGGATCCTCCACATAAACCTCAGCAAATTACTGAAAAAAAGATAGGATCCTTTACATAAACCTCAGCAAATAACTAAAATAAATAAATCTTACATATTATCTTGGAATTTTTATATATCTATATTCAACAGTTGTTTTTCTCTAGCGCTCAATCATCATATACATGTACTGTGTGGACTTGCAAATATTTACATTTTCTAATGTTTGTAAGAGGTAAAACTCAAAATAAGGTCATAGCTTTATATCCTCATAAAGCAATTTGCTCAGCACATGACAGATCAGCATGCCTCTTCACTGCTTGTTGTTTAATAGTACACTGGGTGTCGCTTGTTTCTTATTCCATGGAAGATCAGGTAAAATTATAATTAAAATATAACAAAAAACTCTGGGTTTTTTTTTTTTTGGGGGGGGGGGGGGGTCAATAACTATTAAGTCAATGCATTTGGTGTAAATATTTACTTTGTTTGGCAAGTGAAAATTGGAAAAGATATCTTTTTTTTCAATTTGATGATATGCAAAAACTAACAGATTTGGAGCATTTCATAGAGGACTTAGTAAGCTATTGACATTTGACAATGACTTCAGTAAAGTATGTAATCATTCTTTCCTGTATGATATCTTACATCTTTTTGGACTTGCTGAGTGAAGTATGTGTCCAGTTTGTCTGATCGATCCCATTCTTTACAAGCTACCTCTAAGAGTCTCTTCTCTATCATCACCATACTGTACACAGACTTAGGCTGGTGGATGTGGATTAACTCCTGTAAAACAAACGCCATAGCTTTAATTTACAATCATTTCTCTATCATCACCATACTGTACAGACTTAGGCTGGTGGATGTGGATTAACTCCTATAAAACAAACACCATAGCTTTTACTTTTAAAAAAAATCCCATTCAAATTATTATTTTGAAATGGTAATAACAAATTGCCTAAGATGGGTTAAGTATTTTACTACATCTGTAATTTATTACAATCGTTAACTAGTGGGTATTGTTTTTTTTACAAAAAAACACATGTCTCCCCTTCTTTACCAACATTAACGAGTGCAAATATATGATCAGGGTCAAAAATAATAATGCAGTGCATCTCAACTCAAATTCTGTGTACAAAATTTCAAGTCTTCATGTCAAACGCATCTCAAGTAATGGTCTGGTTGTGTTTTTCTTAATTTGACCTTGAAGAAAGTGGTCAAGGTCAAATATTTTGATGCAGTACATTTAGTCTCAATGTTGTCATTCCTTGTTCCAAGTTTGAAATCCTAATGTCAAAAAGTTCTCAAGTTATGACCTAGACTATATTTTCATGTAAACGATTGACCTTGACTTTATAAATAGGTCAAGGTGAAAAAATGTTGCCATTCACCCTTCCTCTATACCACCTCTCCATGTTCCAAGTTTGAAGCCTTAATGTCAGGGTTCTCAAGTTATGGTCTAGTCATGTTTTCTCTATTTGACCTTGAAGAAAGGGGTCAAGGTCAAAATTTTGAAGCATTGCATCTTGTAACAATGTCTTCTTTCTATGTTACAAGTTTGAAGTCCTAATATGAAAGGGTACTCAAGCTAAGGCCTGGACTCTATTTTGATGTAAAAGATTGACCTTGACATTATAATAATTGAATCAAGGTCAAAAATTTTGGTGGCATGCATCCTTCCTTCATACCACTTCTGCATGTTCCATGTCTGAAGTCTTTATAACAAAGGATTCTTAAGTAATGGTCTAATCAAGTTTTTTCCCTATTTGACCTTGAGAAAGAAAAGAGGTCAAGGTCAAAAATTTTGGTGTGTTGCATCTTGTATCAATGTCTTCTTTCTTTGTTACAAGTTTGAAGTCTTAATATCAAAGGGTACTAAAGCTATGGCTTGGACTCTATTTTGATGTAAAAGATTGACCTTGACCTTATAATAATTGAATCAAGGTCAAAAATTTTGGTGGCATGCATCCTTCCTTCATACCACTTCTGCATGTTCCATGTCTGAAGTCTTTATAACAAAGGATTCTTAAGTAATGGTCTAATCAAGTTTTTTCCCTATTTGACCTTGAGAAAGAAAAGAGGTCAAGGTCAAAAATTTTGGTTTGTTGCATCTTGTATCAATGTCTTCTTTCTATGTTACAAGTTTGAAGTCTTAATATCAAAGGGTACTTTGAGGTTTAAGCTTACTTTGACCTTATAAATAGGTCAAGGTCAAAAATGTTGGTGGCGTGCACTCCTTCTCAATGTCATCTATCTATGTTCCAAGTTTGAAGTCTTAATGTCTAAGGGTATTAAAGTTACGGCCTGGACAAAATTTGGATGAAGAAGAAGAAGAAGAAGAACTAGATACGATCTCGTTGCGAGCAACGAGTGGGTCTTCCGTCCGATTTTTGATCAGATGAGATAAGAATTTGACAGAGATTTTGGTTCTTTTTAATCCCTTTTTTTTATAAGCTTAAACCTCTCGTGATTTTAAAAACTTTTTATTCAACAACTATTGAGAAAGTCTTCTTCGTTTCCGAGATATATTCAAAAGAAACATTTAGGGGCTGGTCCTTCAACACCAAAATGGGGATATTTAGCAAAAATTGAAAGTTCACGTATTGTTCAAAACACTATTTTGAACATCTTTTATTCAAAACTACTTCTCAAAATATTTCTCCCTTTTGAGATATAAAGCGTGAAAGATTTTGCATTCTGGCCCCTTATGGCCCCTAATTATGTAACATATGATGTGAATATCATAATATATAGTTGTAAATTGTTGCGATAAACATTTTTGCTTCAATAATGCATTACAAAATATTAATCGTTAAAGAGTTACTGATTAAAGACTTTTGGCCCCTCTCAGCCCCTATTTAAAGGGGCCACCCATTTTTTCTTCATACCACTTCAAAGCTCTCATGATTTTGAACATTTTTTGTTCAACAACTATTTACAAATTCTTCTTCGTTTTTGAGATATTTAAATAAGAAATATTTAGGGGCTGGCCCTTCAACTCTTTAATGGGGACGTTTAGCAGGAAATAAAAGGTTGCATATTGTTCAGAACATTATTTTGAACATCTTTTGTTCAATATTGCTTATCAAAATATTTCCCACTTTTGAGATATAAAGCGTCAAAAATTTAGCATTCTGGCCCTTTATGGCCCCTAATTATGTAACATATGATATGAATATCATAATATATAGTTGTAAATTGTGGAGATAAACATTTTTGCTTCAGTAATGCATTACAAAATATTGATTGTTAAAGAGTTATTGTTCAAAGACTTTCGGCCCCTCTCAGCCCCTATTTTGAGGGGCCAGCCCCTTTTCCTTCATATCACTTTAAAGCTCTCATGATTTTGAACACTTTTTGATCAACAACTAGTCAGAAATTCTTTTTCGTTTCCGAGCTATATGCAAAAGATATATTTAGGGGCCAGCCCTTCAACTCCTTAATGGGGACGTTTAGCAAAAATTGAAAGGTTGCATATTGTTTAGAACATTATTTTGAACATCTTTTAATCAATATTGCTTATCAAAATATTTCCCACTTTTGAGATATAAAGCGTCAAAGATTTAGCATTCTGGCCCCTTATGGCCCCTAATTATGTAACTTATGATATGAATATCATAATATATAGTTGTAAATTGTGGAGATAAACATTTTTGCTTCAGTAATGCATTACAAAATATTGATCGTTAAAGAGTTATTGTTCAAAGACTTTCGGCCCCTCTCAGCCCCTATTTTGAGGGGCCAGCCCCTTTTCCTTCATATCACCTTAAAACTCTGATGATTTTGAACACTTTTTGATCAACAACTAGTCAAAAATTCTTTTTCGTTTCTGAGATATTTGCAAAAGAAATATTTAGGGGCTGGCCCTTCAACTCCTTAATAGGGACGTTTAGCAAAAAATGAAAGGTTGTATATTGTTTAGAACATTATTTTGAACATCTTTTGTTCAATATTGCTTATCAAAATATTTCCCACTTTTGAGATATAAAGCGTCAAAGATTTAGCATTCTGGCCCCTTATGGCCCCTAATTATGTAACATATGATGTGAATATCATAATATATAGTTGTAAATTGTTGAGTTAAACATTTTTGCTTCAGTAATGCATTACAAAATATTGATCGTTAAAGATTTATTGATTAAAGAATTTCGGCCCTTCTCGGCCCCTAATGTGATGAGTCAGCTTTTTCTTTGATATATTTCTGTTCAATATATTTTAACAAAATACTCATAATTAAAAAGTTATCGTAAGAAATGTCTCTAAAATTCACTCATGATTCGTGTCCTAAATTTCGACCTCTACCGAGCTTCCATACTAGGCACTTCCAGAAAATATCTAAACCCAGGTGCACAATGGCAATATGTCCTCTATCATCGCTGAAAATTTCAGCGTTCTAGCTTAAGCCGTTTTTGAGTTCCATTGCAGACAAGGAGGTCCTCTGAATTTTGATAAAAGGGCGATAACTTCCGACCGGAAGTTATTTTCTAGAAACGGAATTACCGGAATTAACTTCAGATAAAAAGGTGTTAATGCTGAAAATTTGAACCAAATCGATCGAACCATCTCCGAGAAATCTTCTGCACAAAATTTGTAAAGAAAAAAAAAGGAAGAATAATAATAAGAAAAGTGAAAAAGAAACAATAGAATAATAGAAGGGTCTTCCGCTGAAGACGGAAGACCCTAATAAGAAAATCGACAAAAACAATATGTCTCCCCTGGAAGGGGAGACATAATTCCTTATTCAACAGTACTTGGTGAAAACTATGGTTTCATCATATGTACTTACAATGATATAAACATGTTTTGTTAGTATAAAATATACACTTGATAATCAACAATTTGCAACTGAAACTACAATAGTTCATGCTTTCTTCTATTTTATCAGCCATGTCTTAAGACCTTTGCCTTACCTGAAGAGCATACTTCAGAGCCACAGGGACCCTGCTGGCGATAGACAAAGAAGGATGGAACTCCAGCATGTAGATATTCCTCAAAGCTGGCCTAAAAAAAACAAACAGTCAATCTTACACTTTATAAAGTACAAAATCTACAATTATAATACATCCTAATGTTTGCTTTCAATATCCTAGCTGACCAATGAAATCATAAGATGTAAGATTCATGATTGCGTTCGATATCCTTGTTGACCAATGCAATCATTTAGTGTAACAGATTCATGCCTGCTTTCAATATCCCAGCTGACCAATGAAATCATTTAGTGTAACAGATTCATGCTTTCTTTCAATATCCTATCTGACCAATGAAATCATTTAGTGTAACAGATTCATGCTTTCTTTCAATATCCTATCTGACCAATGAAACCATGCCATGTAACAGATTCATGTTTGCTTTCAATATCCTATCTGACCAATGAAATCATGCCATGTAACAGATTCATGTTTGCTTTCAATATCCTACCTTACCAATGAAATCATGCCGTGTAAGATACCTGCTGAGGTTGATGGAGATTGGTTGTTTGGGCACCACTGATAGAGGTAGACCGAACTCTTCCCCCTCCCTACACACCTTCTGAAGATACTCTCTCTGCTCCTCAATCTAAAACCAGAGACTTACGTTCAGCAAACTGGGATATCAAATAAAACCCACCTTGTGTAATATGAATAGATCAAACTTCTTAAAGTTCAAAATAAATTCCACCAACAGTGTCAACTTATTTAAGACCTTGTATTTTTTAATGTAAACACATCTATGATATTCTCTCTTTTAATTTTAAAGATATTAAGTACACAGAAATTATCAATTTTTTTGTTTGAATTCTTGCTTTAAGCCTGACTCCCTGATATAACCTGTTTATCCATGATGTTCTTGATGAGTGTTGTCATGTGTCTAAGGATAACACACTCTGCCCGGATTGTCTTTATGAAATAGTCCGCCTTAAAGTCAAATCGCGGCTTCTTGTAAATCAGGTTCATCATCACTTGAGCCATGGCTCGCTTCTCATCTTTGTCAAACACATGCTGGTAGGCTTCAACATAGCAGTCTAACAGCTGAAAGATGCAACAACTGGATTTTACAAAAGAGTGGTTCAATGGCTAAAAGTTACAATATAACACCACCATAATTTCACATTATGTGTATAATATAATAGTCCTATAACTGTGAGTCACATTTTCATGTATAATATTGCATTTCAGTGATTGAAATTTAAGTTACAATACAGAACAGTCCAGTAACTCTAAGTTACTACTCAGAAGTCTAATTACTAAATGTAACAATAAAGTAGTCAAATGACTGAAAGCTATAGCATAATATTCTTTTGACAGGATGTTTCAATATACAATGTACCTATAAATTACCATATACGTGTACCTGTTAAATGACTGAAAAATAGTTAAAATACTATATCATATTTGCCCCAAATCAATAATCAGGTAAATCTTTCTCTTCCTAAAATTTACCTACTTTTTTTTATCACGTCTCAAAATTTTTTGATACGACAAAGTTTACATGCTATTAAAATCATATATTTAAAAATTTTTGCTAGAAAATTAATATTTTTGATGTTTCAGCGATTCAAAGTTTGAATTTCTCAATATGCATATTCTGATCACAGATGCTACGCGCCATTGCTCTGACGTCATAGGTGTCAATCCTGGTCAAGCGAAGTACTTATTGTGTATACAAATTTACAAAAGGGCTCATTTGTTGCGTCTATTAAACCTGTTAGAGAATAATTAAGAGATAATTGGATAATTGACAGCTAGTAAGGTATAATTTATGGCTTTAGGATGCACAAATGTGCACAAGAAAGGTTTTAGGAAGGTATTTTTTCCACATTTCCTGGACTTGGTTGAGAGATGAAAGAGGGGCCTTTTACTGCAAATGCGATGGCGTTTATCTCCAATCAGAACAATCGTTTATGCCCGATCGATCACAAATTTTTTTCTGTCCTATAAAATATTTTAAGGAAAGATACCTTTAAAAAAATAATAAATGACAAACACACATTTTTTAAAAGTCACACAGAATCTAGTAGGAATGTTGTGAACTTCGTAATGGTGTATGGCGCCATTGAAGAAGTATCATTTCTAGTACATGATATTCACTGCTGGAACAGATAGAAGATGTACAGCATTTATTTATATATAATTAATTAAAATAATAATGAAGGAAAATTTGAAATTCCCATATTTATAAATGTTTACGAAGTTAAACTTAAGTAATTCATTCTACTTAGTCGAAGTCCCGAGTTGTCAACGGCTTCTTCTTCGGTGTCCTCTCCTATTGTCGGCATATTTTCTGGTTATTTCTCTCTGCTCGATGTTCACACATAATAGATTGACCATCCATAACCAAAGGAATATAGTCCATGTCAAAATTTCGACCGGCCATATTGTGTTTTCTATTTATTTAACATAAAAATCTATTCAATATATTTTTTCTTACGATAAGCCTTATGAGTTCTATTGACCACTGACACCTATGACGTTTCAGTACCACATGACCCCTATCTAATAAGTGGAGATTTTTACTAAGAGGACCCTATATTATGGGTGTTTTATCGTCTAATTACGGCCGTTTTCAACATTATTTCATAATTAAACGATAATTATATGTTTCAATAATATAATAGTGTTTCATTTTTAAGAAACTTAGATACGTGATAGAAACCCTTTTATACCTGTACAAATATCTTGCTTACCAGAGAGGCCACTTTTTTTTTTAACAATGATGATCTTAAAACATTTTTAAACATTAATACTAGACTAAGTATGTTCTAAGTTGCTGGTGTCCTTTAAGAGCAATTGTTTCAAAACTACTTTTCAAAAGTTGCATCTCAATACATTAAATAAAGCTTTAAGCTTAGATATTTTTTATATTAACTTACCTCCCTTTTGCATTCCATAAAAGAGGTGAGATTGTTCCAGAGATCCATGAGAACCCCGAATCTGTCAATCTCCTGGTGGGAGTACTCCCCAATGTCAAAATCTCCCGGAGCTGAGTGCTGTAAGCAATGAACAATGCCTTTCTTAAAACAGTTCTATTGACACCAGATTTTAAATTACATGTATATATGACAAATCAGTAGTTTTGGATTTTCATAGTTTACATACTAGCTTCTTTCTTGCAGACTCTCGTGCTGATTTAGGGACCTTGGATTTTTTCCTCAGGTCTCGATCCTTCTCTATATAGTGAGTGGCTATCAACAAAATCTCTTTCTCCATGTTCCTGCACAAAAATTTGATTTCTTACAACATGTAGATAAGTAGTTGAATATGACACAAATTCAATGCACTCTGTCAGCATGGATAGTTTCCCTAACTTCACTATCCTAGATTTCTGAACCAAATAAGTTCTATAGAAACTTTGATGTATATTTTTTAATTGTCCAATGTTTACAGGCAAACAAGTATACAGTATCACATAATTTGGTTGTGATACCATTTTGACCTCAGTGAAGCCAATTATTCAACACAAGTGAAGTAAGCTGTACTTTCAAAGCCTAATACATGTGATCAACATTTGTGAACTCTGACCTCTGACCTACTTACTTTAGGTCATTTTCTGCAGCATCATACACGACATAGTACCCCCTCTGGTCCTGTACGTGGACTCTGCCCTCCTCCATGGTATAAAAGTCATCATGGTTCTCAATATCAGAGAATTCCATGAACTCAGACTCACTCAACCTGACAAAAAATAAACAGAATTTATACATCTACAAATGTATGAATTAAATGTCAATAGATACCCAAAATCTGAAGAAATAAATTTATATTTATGTTTGAGGGGATTTCAATTTTTTCCTGCTTTTGTATTGTATTTTCAATATAGAAATAATAGAAAAGATATGGGGAGAATGCAAAAATAAGGCTGACTTGATTTGAAAATTTCATTACAGATAGGGGTTTTAGCAATAATAAAACCTGTACACACTGTTACATAAATTTCTATAACATATTTTTACTGAGAATTGTGTTTTCTTAAGACTGATGTATGGAGTTATTTATTTTTTTAATTCCATTCTTTATTTTACATAATCATTATCAAATTATCAAGAAACCCTGGCTTACTTGAAATCTGCTGGTGTGTTGTGCATGTATCCATGGTAACCAATGCCCCCACCCCCTCCCACTGTCCCATCATGCTCTGTGGCTCTCCTGTGGTTCTGTTGACTGAAATATACAAGGAAATCTTATAACGTAAATGTTATAATACAGCTAAATCACACAGAAATTCAATAGGTCAGGATAGGGATGAAGAATTATATGTATCTTTCCTTGATATTACCATATGTACATGTATTTGAACCTAGTTTTCTTGATATTACCAAATTTCTTGATATTACACATTTGTACCTAATTTTCTTGATGTTACCACATTTCTTGATATTACCACACAAATGTATCTAATTTTCTTGATATTACCACATTTCTTGATATTAATTACCACATTTCCTGATATTACCACACATTTGTACCTTGTTTTCTTATAACCTCCCACTTCTTGAGACAGACCAGCATCATTGATAGTCAGAGTCCTCTCAATAGAACGGAAGTAATTAAAAACACTCAGGGCCTGCAAATCAAATTTCAAATCATCAAATGGCTCTGGGACTAACAAGAAATCACCGATATCTGAATTCATGCATGCATAAGGAACATATTCTTTTGTAGAATTCAGTTAAAAAAGAAATAAAAACAAAAGTAAAAACAATAGATGTTTCTTTCTGTGTAAACTATGCTTTTATATACATACCGTCCTCTGTAGATCCCTGGTTCTGAGGTGTCTGAGGTGAAGGAAGGCAAGGAACGCCCCCTGGAGGGAGGCGGGGTCTTGATTCTCCTGCTCTCCCTCATCTAAACCTGTAAGACACACCAAGGGAGATAATTCATTGATTTTGATAAAAATTATTAAAACACTATTCATGATTAAAATTTGGACTTGATTTTTTTAGAGTATGCATTACAAAAAAATCTAAATACACATTTTTAGAAACATTTCTATTCTGATACCTTTTTAAAAAGAACAAGAGGCCCAAGGGCCTTAACGGTCACCTGAGTATAATACAACAATTTAGAGGATCCATAGAGTATGAAATGAACTGAAAGGTGAAGCTTTGTTGCCCAAAAGCAAGAAAAATAGGGTGATCAGGATCAACAAAATAATTAGTCTAGTGTTCATTAACAGTACATAAATTAGGTTCTAATCAGTTCCCCATTTATCACTCTCACCAGACAGTATATAAACAAACTTATAATCAGTGCTTCTATACTCTTTTAATTCCTTGTTGAAATCTCTTACATTGGCCTCTCTTGGTCTTTGATGAACATTTAATAAGACAAGTTATTTTTGTCTCATTTTTATTTATCTGTTACTTACAAGTCTACCTGATCATTAAAGCTATGAAATTACTTTTTGTATTATACAATAAAAATTCTTGCATAATTCTCTTATTCTATTAACCTTTCAAGTACATCATTTACAGTGATTAATTAACACAAGTATATGGCAAAGGGGAATAACTCCTCTCAATAGAATACAAATTAATAGAGCCCTGGCCTGGACCAGAACACTTGATTAAATGGTTCTGATGTTCAAAAATCTGGTAAAAATACCCTTCCTTATTAAAACTTTTACTCTTTTTGCCTCTGCTATGCCCAGGTGCAGAGAAGATTTTTAAAGCATTTTCACTATGTAATAAATAGAGCCCTGCCCTAATATCAGAACTTCTGATCCAGGGGTCATGAAATTCACAATTTTGGAAGAGGCATCCTTGCTTATCATAACCATGTATTTGTTTAAATAATACCCAAGAGAAGAGAAGATTTTTAAAGAAAGAATGCACTTTCACTATATGATCTATATAGCCCCGCCCTAGCACCAGAACCCCTGACCCTGGGGTCATGAATTTCACAATTTTGGTAGAGTCACCCTTGATTATCATAGCTATGTATTTAATTTGTTTAAATAATACCCAGGAGTAGAGAAGAAGATTTTCAAAGAAATAATGCAATTTCACTATATGATCTATATAGCCCCACTCTAGCACCAGAACCCCTGACCCTGGGCTATGAATGTCACAATTTTGGTAGAGTCACTCTTGCTTATCATAACTATGTATTTAATTTGTTTAAATAATACCCAGGAGTAGAAAAGAAGATTTTCAAAGAAAGAATGCACTTTCACTATATGATCTATATAGCCCCGCCCTAACACCAGAACCCCTGACCCCTGGGGTCATGAATTTCACAATTTTGGTAGAGTCACTCTGGCTTATCATAACTATGTATTTAATTTGTTTAAATAATACCCAGGAGTAGAAAAGAAGATTTTCAAAGAAATAATACACTTTCACTATATGACCTATATAGTCCCGCCCTAGCACCAGAACCCCTGACCCTGGGGTCATGAATTTCACAATTTTGGTAGAGTCACTCTGGCTTATCATAACTATGTATTCAATTTCTTTCAATAATACCCAGGAGTAGAAAAGAAGATTTTTAAAGAAATAATGCACTTTCACTATATGATCTATATAGCCCCGCCCTAGCACCAGAACCCCTGACCCTGGGGCTATGAATTTCACAATTTTGGTAGAGTCACTCTTGCTTATAATAACTTTGTATTCATTTTGTTTCAATAATACCCAGGAGTAGAGAAGAAGATTTTCATAGAAATAATGCACTTTCACTATATGACCTATATAGCCCCACCCTAGCACCAGAACCCCTGACCCTGGGGCTATGAATTTCACAATTTTGGTAGAGTCACCCTTACTTATCATAACTATGTATTCAATTTGTTTCAATAATACCCAGGAGTAGAGAAGAAGATTTTCAAAGAAATAATGCACTTTCACTATATGATCTATATAGCCCCGCCCTAGCACCAGAACCCCTGACCCTGGGGCCATGAATTTCACAATTTTGGTAGAGGGCTCAATGCTTATTACAATCATGCCAACAGTTTGACTGCTTGTTGTTCAGGAGTAAAGAAGAAGATTTTTAAAGATTGCATTAATTTTGATGGTTTTGGCCCCACCCCTCAGGCCCCAGGGGGGCAGGGGCCACGAATTTCACAATTTTTGTTCCCCTTCACCCATAGATGCTATATGCCAAAATTGGTTGAAATTGGTTTGCTGGTTCCAGAGAAGAAGCTGAAAATGTTCAAAAGTTTACGACCGACGAACGACGGACGACGACGGACGAAAAGAGATAGCAATAGGTCACCTTAGTGACTCAGGTGACCTAAAAATATATGGACAAATAATTCAGTTTATTAATCTATGATAGTCTGATAGTATCAATAAACATAAAAAGCTACGTACTTTTCTGGCAACAAATATGCAAGTATGTCTTCTGAACTAATGTGTTAAAATACCTTTTAAAAATATTTATAAAATTCCTTTTGGTTTGATTTCAAACTGAGTGCAAAAATCAAAGCTTTTTCTGAAAGCATCACTTGCAGTGTGGAAAGTGTAGCCAGTTTGATGCATAACAAACAAAATGACCCATGAACAAACCACTATCTATTTCAAATTAATGTGTAACCACTGCTTTGATTAGCATAAATTTTGCATCATACCTATTGCAGACATGAAAACACAAACATCTAGCTGGACACAAAAATTACTGATGAATACATGTATACGAGATTTCTCAAAATTCTAGCAAAAACTTGCCATTTGCACTAATCTGTCAAGTAATACATACTTAAGATCTTTTTATTTAACAAAGATCTTTTTTCACCTTTACTACAAATATCTTGAGCTGTATTGTCCACTAAAAAGGAAAAATAGGTTGAAAAGTTAAATTAAAATGTTAAAGAAGCACATACACCTAAGTCCTCAACTCCCCAGTTTTTCTGTTTATTTTGAATACATGTCTTATAAACCATGCCTAACCTATCTTAATATAGATCTATAGTATCCTTCACCTCACTGGTAATTATCATGCAGTTATAAATTGTTAATTATAGCTTTTTTATGCATATGATGAATTGTTAAGATTAGTTAGTTTCATATTTATTACGTCTATCTTCTATATCAAAATGAGAATACATGTTCTTATGAAATCTAAATTTTAACCCAGTGGAGATATTAATCAATTTTCTATAGATGCTTAATAGAGTCCATTCCTTATGTGACCTACATACTGTATAAAATACCTGTAAACTTCACATTTAGCTCTTCAAACCCTGTTACACAACAAGTTTGCTAAAATTATTTTTTTCTAAAACATAATGAATATTTATTATAAAGAACTTTTCATTAAAAATTTAATTATATAATGGCAAGGAACTCAGTATAAAATCCACACAAAAACATGACAAACTCTTTGGCCCCTCACCCAACATCTGCACCGTGCTTTTGTAGTCATAACTGTCCTTCCTCCGACGAGCACTAACAGCCCGCGCCGACTTACTTCCTGTCCCGCCCATTTCTTCATCGTCTTGGAGATTGTCATCTAGGTCATTACTAAAATACATGTAAATTAAGTTACTTTCAATAGAGACACTACATTCATTATTTTACTGTCCCCCGCTTTCACTGAAAGTATTAGTGTATTCTCTAATATTCTCATACTCTTTGTACCAGTATGTATACTTTAATGTACTTTGAAATGGACCCTTTTAGGTCTTTGGCATGCATATATCAGAAAGATTAGAATTGCCTTACTCTGCATAAAGGTCAGGATTGGAGTAGATTTTTCTCCATGTCTGTCTCGTGTCGTACGTCTTGTGTGAGCGGTGTGTAGTGACAGAGGCTTCCTGCGGTTCCGGGGGATTCTGAACCATAGTAGCATGGTCTCTCAGGGTCTCCTGAACCTTCTGCAGTAATGAGAACAGGAATAATTTAGAAAACCAATATAGAATTGACATTAATTCTGAAAAGTTAAATCTGTTCTTTATTTTTTATGACGACTAACATTTTGGAGTCTCTCAGGGTCTCTTGAACCTTCTGCAGTGAGGAGAACATAAATTTAGAACAGCAAGATAGAATTAACATAATAGTGGTATAAAAAGTTATGTAGATCTTTTATTCCTACTTAATGATCCCTACCACCTTAAATTCCCAACAGGATCTAAGTAAATTCCTCTTAACATTGCACATTTCACAAAGTTACAAACCTGAGGGTCACTGACAGAAGTGAAAGCCTCCATGTATCGCAAGATTTCATCCACATTGTTACGATGTCTGAGATTGGTCCACTCTATCTCTTGTTGGGGGTCACTCTCGCTTTTCAGGGTTACAAAGGAGATCCAGTTACTCTCCTGTTTCAGGCAGTGGGAGGGTGAATCAGACCCCCATCCTTGCTGTCCAGGCTGTCATAAAATAATCAATACAGTTACTGTATGTGACGGAGTTAAAGGTACATCAAACATCAGAAGAATGCTTAAATACAAAACATTCTGTCTCTAGTTCGTTGATTAGTGACTCAACATGATATTGACTCTAAACAACATGCCACTGAAGGGTTTTTTCTAAAGTAAATGTATAGCCATGATACATAAAGCTTATAATACTCAGTAGAACAATTTTGGTATTCCATGACTCTGAATTATATTCCACAGCATTTTTCAATTACTAACTTAAGTTAATGACTGCTTTCAAAATTACTGAACTCTCCTGCATTGAAAGTCAAAAATCTTCAAGGTCAGGGCAAGGAGCCTGGCAATATGAACTATTACACAAATCTTGACCTTTTAACCTAATCTTTGATTAACTGAGCCCAAAATGCACTAGCATATTCCTTTTCGTAACTTTACCCTGAATCTTCAGAAGCAAATTATTACAGTCCCTGAAACGTTCTACTTTCCCATTTTTCCGTTCGCTCACCGTTCGTTCACCGTTCGTTCAGCGTGCGTTCACCGTTCGTTCAGCGTGCGTTCACCGTTCGCTCTCCGTTCACTGTTTTGCGTTCACCGTTCACCGTGCGCTCGCGTTCACCGTTCACAAAGCGTTCAGCGTTCGCTCTTCGTTCCGTTCACTTTGCGTTCACCTTGCGTTCAGCGTTCACCTATCGTTCAGTTTTCATTGTCATTCGGAACTCCGAAGTGAAAGGACTTATCTTTTTGTAGGTTAGGAGTTACAGGTTTTTTAATTTAATAACTTACATATCGTGTTTGAAGAATCATTAATTCATGGGGGAAAATATCTACGATATATATTTTTATTATTCTAACTTAGCTGTTAGGTTATTTATTAAATTACTCTGGAAAATAAATGTTGTTATAAGCACATTCTGTACCTATGTAGAACGATGCTGAAATACTAAATTTAACTAAAGGCAATGTGCAAATACTTCAAGCACTGCAACATTTTGTTGTTTTGTTAAAGACGACAAATAGTTAATGGAGATATGATTATCCAAGTCAAATAATTACGCAGCAAAATTACGAAAATATTTATTTATAACACTTTTTTTTCAATTACTACAGAAAATATGATAGAACTAGTTCTGAGAGTTATACATAGTACTGCGGATATCGTATTAATTTATTATCTTTAGAGCGAATTAAATTGATGGTGTGGTTAAAGGAAATATTTATTTAAAATGTAATGCACTACAGAATTTTCTCTACTATAATATGTAAAGTCTATAGTTATAGAGAGAACAAAAATCTTTCTTCACCGTAACTTTATATGTTTGTCATTCGATATGATTAATACCCCCCCCCCCTTTTCCCCCTAAATCGGTTACTTAGTCAGTATTGTATTTCCAGAATATTTTAATTAACATTTTTAAAAAAAAGTTAAGGTCTTTTTTAGAACAAAAATTTCAGTCTCAAAACAAACAGGCATCTAAAAAAGTCACAAAACAATAGTAGTTCAAAATGTACACGTGTCGGCGGTGGTATATGGAATTGGCAGAGTATGTTTCAAATTCAAGTGTTAATGCCCTATGTATTTTATTCAATTATCATTCAAATGTTGGAATCAAATCTAGAAATGATAAAAATAAATGTTATAACTTGTTGGAAATACTCGCACTTCGTCTTCGATGTGACGAAACTTTCACACCTGCACAGTCTCGAATGATTTTGATTGACAGGACAAGCACGTGGACTTCGTGTGAACTTGAAGCAGGAAAATAAAAACGAGTATGACTGTCAAACAAATGGATTTGATTTGTTGATAAAAAAAAAAGAAGTTACTTTCACTGTCTGATATACTTAGAAAAAAATTTCAGAGTTTTTGTTTGATATAGGTACAAACATGTAGTGAAGCCTGAAATGGGGGGGGGGGGGGGTTTAGCTAAAACGGAATATTTCTCTCTCTCTCTTACTCTCTCTCTCTCTCTCTCTCATTTGTCTGTTTAATAAAAACTATAACAGCATATTACTTGAATATCAAGTTCTGAAAATTGAATTTATAAAAATTAATATGAATATGTATCTTTGTATTATCTTGTCCGAGTATAATCACGGCCATCTACAGATAAAACATGGCCGTAGGAACCGAGGGGGAGGGGGGGCGTGCCCCCCTCCCCAATAATTTTGCCGATATATAGATTATTATAGTAAACATAGATACTATATGCTTGTGCCCCCGCAATAAAAAGTCTGATGATCTTTTTTTTTTTTTTTTTTTTTTTTTTTTTGCTTGTCAGGAAATTTTTGGTAGTGCCCCCTCAACTATTAACTGAAAATGTATGGCTGTGCCCCCCCCCCCCCCACCGAATTTGCTTCCTACGGGCCTGATAAATCATCATGTAAAATAGAAATGACACAGAATATATTATTGTATTAAAAATTTAAAATACGAGCGTATAAATGCAAAACGTCCACTGACCTATGTAATTATTTTTTTTTTCATTACTTTACACGAAATCGCCTTAACACGGAGATATATGAATGGATGTTACAACCACTTTAATTCATTCTATAAGTCAGAAGTTTTCTCTGATTTGTTATCAAATAAGAATAAACATTTTTATTTTCCAACTAAAAAATATCTCATACTTCAGAGTTCGGCAACAATTGCAATGTTTTAATGCGATAAAAATCGTGTGATTAAAAACTTAATGTGCATGCATCGTCTTTCTCAGGACAATTTTGGAGAATTTATTTTATTGACTTATTCATTCATTTATTGGTTTACTTATTTATTATTGATTGATTGATTTATTTATTTATTTTGGCACTTGACATAATAAAACAATAAAATAGTTTCAATGCAAGGAAAAGATCAGAGGCATTCCGAATATATCGTTCATCTTGCGTTCACCGTTCGTTCACCGTTCACTTTGCGTTCGCGTTTGCGCTCCGTTCGCGTTCTGCGTTCGCTCACCGTTCAGCGTTCACACATCGTTCACCAAGTTGCGTTCAGCGTTCACACATCGTTCACTCACCGTTCGCTCTGCGTTCGTTCAGCGTTCGTTCACCGTTCGTTCAGCGTTCGCTCACCGTTCAAGTGGGAAAGTAGAACGTTTCAGGGACTGTAATTCCAACACTGAAAATATATCACTGAACATTATTTTTGAATGTTGGTCTCTAAAAGTATCAACTTACCTCAAGTCTGTCATATGTCTTAAATGTTTTCATGACTTCCTGTCGGTTGAAGAGGGATTGAAACTTTCTGTTCACAGCTGCATACATTTCCATTTCATCAGCAGAATTATGGATGGAATTTAAATCCTGCAAAATACAATTTCATGTCAAGTACTGTAGATTCCTAAATATACGCGAGGAATTAATTAACGCGTAATTACGCAAGGAGCACCACTCGCGAAATAAAGTTACTCGCTTTTATTTTTATGGTGTTGAAATCAATGTTAAATCTCATTGTAAACCGTCCATTCGCGAATTATTGTTCTCGCGATTTGGCGTCTAAGAGCCCTTTCGCGATATTAAGTACTCGCGTAAAATAAGGAATTTACAGTAATTGAGAGTAGGTTTCAGCATTTCTTTAGCTCAGCAATAAAGTAACAGGTTGATATCACAACCTTTAACATAAAAATACAGAGATTCTTATGAGAAGATATCATGTGATAATCAATTGAATCACTATATGGTGCTAAAAAAATCTTTATTTAAATAATAACTGTCTCCATGTGGAAAATGACTAAAAAATAAAATGCAGTCCTCCATTCTTGTAATGTATCTTTAATATTTTACTCCCGTGGAGCTTTCTACAGCATGCAAATTTATCATTTAATTTTTTTCTGACTCCTATTTGTAAACTGCTTAATACATGTTGAATTAATTATGTAAACAAATCGTAAAAGATATGTGTACATGTAGCCCAAAATGTAATGTAAGTAATGAACAAGAAAACATTGATGTAACCATCAATTGTCGCCAGGGAAATAAATAAAGTAAACAATGGAAATGAGTCTTGATCATCAAACCGCTTCGATATGTGTGAAAAAGGCATGCGTCTAAATGATGGAGACGATAGTCGAGAATATTTTGAAAACTTATAGTCGGATGAAAATCGAACAAAAACGATACCCTTTTAAACATTATCAATTCCTCAAGTAAATGTTGGCTGCATAAAATATAATTTGAAACCTGACACATGCAACACCTATTTTCAAAAATGTCTTTCACTTAAAGAATATAAAACATGAACTGTGTAAAGTACTTTTTTTTACGTTTTTATGCGATAAGTAAAATTCGATGTTCTAAAAAAAGGGACCTGTCGTTTTTTAGATAGTAAATGATAAGCAACTTTATATATTAAATATGAAAAACATATACATTTTTACAGATTCACTTTATGGAAGTAAATATATTGTGTATCTCGTAATTTATAAAGGGAAAGAACATTCTGATTAACAATCTTTTTAATGTTTAGAAAACCTTTAATTCTGAATAACTTCTCCCACCTCAATCCCCATATACCAACACTTAAACTTATATGTATAGAGCAGCCCGGTCCTCCGGGCTGCAACAAGAGATACAGTGTCCAATCACTCACATAGTTGATGCCATAGATATTCAACAAAAAGCTCAGGTGAGGTTTAAGAGTTTCAAAGTCTACAGCATTTAATGGCAGTCCCTGAGTCGACTCATCTGTTGCTATACCACCACCTGGAAAAAGAATCAGTCCAAGCTGTCATTGGCATCATCCATAGAACATTTTTACAGTGGCTGCAACGTTATTGTTAACAAACCAATCGTGTAGAATCGGTTGTGTAACGTGCGAGATCGTGCGTGTATCAGACTCAATCGTTTGCGGTTTTAATCGTGCGTGATTGTGCATTAAGAAATGTGTCAATTTCGTTTTGTAAGTTTTTAACGGAATGTTAGTTGTTATACAAGCATTTCGCTTGTCTGTTTTATTTTTTTCAATCCAAATAAAATAAATGAAGCACGATTTACATAATTGAAAGCAGAACGAACTAATTATCGCTTGGAAATAAACAATATAGTAAGTCGTACAACATTGTGTTCTCGTCAAATAGCGTGATTTTTTGTGACAAACCTTACTTAGATGTTTAACCTAAGGATTTTGTCTCTGATGTTAATCATATTTAATGGTCAAGATATTTTTAAAATCAATAGATCAAAAAAAGATATTTTTACAAATAAATAAATAGACAAAATTCTCAATGCGTACATTAATGTTTAGTCGGCGAATGTACATGTAGACGACATGATTGTCGGGGTTTTGTTTATTAGTGTTTATCTTTGAACCTTACTTTTAATTATTTTTATAATTTCTGCAAATAAATAATTTGTAAAATAATTGTCGATTTTAGAGATTCACAAATGGAAACATGGATATAACTTATGATTTAATTCATTTTCATGCCATTTTTTTTTCAAACTTATCCCTTTCTGCATATAATGAAATCCAATTCAATCAAAACTCACAGTCCACCTACATGTACATCTTCTGATAGAAGAAAAAAAAAATCAGTTTTCTTAAGTCAGAGAATTACGTAAATAATTATTTGTAATATAAAATAATTAATAAGTCTTACATGTATTTAGTTCCAGAAATATCCATTACTATTTTTTTTTTCATTTTTCAAAGTTGATGAAATAATATCAATAATTATTTGAAATCTAATATAAATATTAAGCCTTACTTCATTTTGAAAATATCCATTCCTAAAGAATTTGAACTATTTTGTGTGAAGAATCATGCGTTTGCGTTAGCGATCGTGTAGAATCGTGTGCGTGAAGGATCGTTCGTGTAATAGATTTTATCGTGCGTTAATCATGTGGAATCGTTCGTGTAACGTGATCGTTCGTGTAAGATGTCAACAATACCGTTGCAGCCACTTTATTAAAACTTAATTGATAAAGAAATTTTGATTTGAATACCTTTACTGAAACGTAAATACATAAAACCATGCAGAAATAAGCACCAGTGTATGAATTGATTCATGGGATCATGCAATTAATAACATGCTGCACTCATAATATATAAAAACTGGTATGAATGTGCTCTTTAATGTATCTTCTGAATTTCCGCAAAAACAATGACAATATCAGGTATGTCTGAAATCTTACTGGTAGCAGCAGCAGCCATAGTAAACACAGAGGAAGGCAGTGGGTTAGTGGTCAGTAGACTAGGGTTTATGGGAGGAGCTGTGGGAATAGGTCCGGTGGCCTGCACAGACACAGCAGAACTTGGTCGAGACACTCCAGACTTGGGTCGCTGAAACAGTCCACTTAGAGAATCATCCCCATATCTGGAGGCTATCTTTGATGCTGTGGTCCCTTCCTCCTGTTCAAAACAGCAAAATTTCACTTTTTCTTCAGAAAGGCATTCATCAATGAAGAAATTTTAAAGAAATCATAATGCCAAAAGCATTTTACTTGTCAAATTTAAATAACTAGAAAACTTATATAAAGAGTTAAGTACAGGGACAAATGATATACACACCAGGTCTTCCTTTTCTTTCTCTGGGGGAGAGGTCTCAGCTCTGTGTGTTAGAGGTAGCCATTTTAACACCTGTCAAAAACCATCTCTAGTTTAATGGTAAACATTAAACACTTTAATTTACAGCAGACTTTGCTATATGATAATATACAAAGTTTAAAAAATGGTTATCAAACTGTTTAAAGATTAAAAAAATATGCTAGAGTTTGATGATGAAAAGTTAAACAAAAACTCTGACTGAAAATAAAAGTGCTACTGAGTTCATCATTACAGTTGTTTTAGAGATGAATGATTTATCTTAATATTTTACTCATTACAATTATTTTATTGATGAATGATTTATCTCAATCTTTTACAAAGACAAAGGACACATACCCTGAGATATTGGTTGACTCTTTTCATGGAGTGGAAATGACAGACCATCCATCGGAGATAAATAAGAATGTCTTCAATTTTGACTTCATTAACAACCTGTTCTGTGCCACACAGAAGGTCTTCACGAGCCAGACTCAGTCTGTGGGCTCGCTGGACACTGTCGTGGTACTCGGCCATTATATGACTGAAAATGGTAGTGACCAACAAAATTAAGAATCCATCTTCTAAATTCCAGTAAAAATATCTTAATTATTTTGCAATTTAAACACTTTTATTAATATGATACAAGTCTGTTCTAGAATCTTTGTTTTAAAAATAAAATGCATGTATCTTTTTTTACAGATATGCTTACTTGAGTCTTTTTGTGTAGTGGGGATACAGAGATTCTATAGTGCTTGTATGCTCACAGAATCGCTTCCATCTCAGCATGTGTAAATGTTTACACTGGACCAGCTGGTAAATCTTCTCTATGTAGTACTACAATTGTATAAATTTCTAGAGTAACCCCAACAGCCTTATATGAGAGGAACTTCTATTTTCATACTGGCCAAGAATATTTTTCTTTGGGTCATGTTTACCCCTTTATACAGTGGATATAGCTCATATGATATCATTTTCATATCAACAGTTGTGACAGCACGTTTTTTTGCGTAAAAGTGACGAAGTCAAATGAAGTGGATTCACATATGAAACACACATAAAGACTGTAAAACATGTGATAGCTGTATGTAAAATGTGATAAAAAGAATCTCCCATTGGTTTGTGGTTGGGTGTGATTTTTATCCAACTCGTGTGTTTCCTATCCACCTGCCAAGCCAAAGCTCAGGGATAGAAAACACAACTCCTTGGATAAAAATCATATCCAACCACAAACCATGGGAAATCCTATATACATCCAATTTAGCTTACTGATTGGATAACTAATAAAACAATAATTCACATGTCCCGTTTCATATCATCAAATCTTAATAAGTAGCAATATTAATGATGGCTTGAACAACAATCAAAAGATTATCTGACTGATATCTCAATATGAAATAGCATTAACAAATTGTGTTCACAGCTTAATTTATTGAAAACTGATGCAAATTTGTAAATAGGTTCCGTTTTGTCATGTTACCTGGTGTAAAAGAAGTGGCAGACTTTTTGCTGAGTATTCATTTTCTTCTGCTGACATCATTTCTTCTTTGATGATCTCTGCTTGCATTTTCAATGGCTGGGCTTCACTAACCTTAAAAATAGCCAGTGATGTGTAACAATGATTGATTAAGAACAGTGTTTTTAGGTTTGTGAATGTTACTGGTGTATAAATCACATGACTTTTCATGTAAGCATATTTCATGAAGCCTGCTAGCGCCTCATGAAAAATATGCCTATACACGCTAGTTTGTGTGAATGATAAACCAACAACATTCACAAGCTGAAAAACATATTTACATTTAAAACCTACAAAAATACACTCAATATTTGAATTTTTCACTGCCCTATTTTGTTATAATTCATTACCATCTCAGAAGCCTTCTTGTGATGTCAATTACAGTCAAACCTCACTATCTCGAACTCAATTGAACCGAGAAAAAAGTTCGAGATATCCGAGGATTTGAGATATTGAGGGAAAAATACTTAATGATTAAGTGTTTGAGACTTCCAAATCTCTCCGACATATCCATGGTATTCCAAATATCAGTGTTCCAGATACCGAAGTTCAACTGTTATTTAGTACCAGTTTCTAAATGCATATTATGCACAACTGACAAGAATGGATTTTAAATCAAGTTCATAGTTGCTTAAGAATATAACGCAGCAAATGTAAATATCTAAACGTTAAATCAAGTTCATAGTTGCTTAAAAAAATAACACAGCAAATGTAAATATATAAATGTTAAACAAAATTCCATGAAAAGAGAGCATTTCAAGGTGACACTGCACTTAAGTTGTGTGGGAAACTTTCAGCAGATAAGTTTAAACATCCCCTCACCTGCAACAGGCGATCAATAACCAGTTTCCTTTCTCTGCGAAAATAGGACACATCCTTTGGCATTGGTATAGAGCTGCAAGAAATATTCTGTCAGCGAAAATTACCCTATAAAATGATCCTTGACAACATCTTTAGAAATTCATGTAGACATTCTTATTGTTCTAATAAAACATTATTGTTCTTCAGAAAATGAGTTTTGTATAATTATGTTATTATTCATTTGTTTCCATCTTTGTAATTGTAAACCTTAGAACCCATTCAATTGGACCAGTATGTGCCTACTCGTCTGTAAAGTTAATTATCACCTTATCATTTTGACTGGTATGTGGTCCACAATATTGTCCTCGATGTCCTTCTTGAGATCCTCAAGATCAATGGATAGCTCTTTCTCCATCTCCTGGACCTTCTTGGACCCAGTCACCTTGTAAAGCTCTGATATCTCCAACATTGTGCTGATCCTTTGGCTAAACTCTGGGATTTTTTTTCTTATCTATTCCTGTAATATTGAGAAACACGTTTGCATTCTCATATCAGTCTTTTAGTTGATATTTTTTTTTTTTTTTTTTTTTTTTTTTTTTTACAATATTGGCTTGTCAAAGTGAAATAGGAATTGCATACAGCCACAAGTGTACAGTTTCATGTTAGTCATAACACCAATGATCACTGGATATTTGATTACTAGTGAAACAGGATAAAACTCTCGTTTCTCTCGACATTGGCAGTGGTAATGTACAACTTGAGGAAATTCGAATTCAAATCACTTGGCGCGCTTTGTGGGAATTCCTCAGTTTTGTAAAATTTTGTTCTTTATGCGGTACTATTTTTTATTGTATTTTCATTATACATCATGTACTTCAATTCTATCCGTGAAAAACAAAGAAAATCACCTCATTTTCAAAGATAAATATGTTGTTTATCAAAGCCAGTGCGTTCGGCGTTTCTCGGCAACATACCTCCGTCAGAGTCCATTACAAGCTTCAAACGTTAATGACACGCTGTTGCAATATAAAGCGTTTAAGCGACCATGATTATCTAGCCTGGTTCCCTTCTCTTGCCTTATTGCCTTATAGCATGGACCAGACAATCGCGAGCTTGTTAAAAAAATTAGGTCTATGCCTGAGGCCTGTTCAACAGAGCGAACGTTCGCGAGCGCTCGCCAAAATTCCTTATCTTTCCAACAGAAATGTTCGCGAGCGCTCGCGAACGTTCGCTCTTCTGAACAGGCCTCTGGTTCTAGAAGCCTTCCTTCCGTTCATTAAATCACAGCATTGGACAAAACTAGCCGGGAAACCATATCAAATTTTTTTTTAGCTCACCAGAGCCGAAAGCTCAAGTGAGATTATTTTCGGATCGAAAGTGCGAACGATAGTATTATTCTCCCACCTAACTCCAAGTCAATTTTCAAAAGATAACAGATGTGAATAATTTTTCATATTTATATAGATCTATATTTATCTGGATTTTCACAAAACATATCTTATTTGGGAAAACAAAGAGAGATAACTCTATAATTTTGGTAGAACTTGTGTTTTTCACTATAGAAATCAATGGAAAACGGAAAATATTTTTAAAACACCCCCCCCCCTCCCCGTGAAACAAAAATTCCTTTTTTACATGTATTAAGAATCGTTATTTAACAAATCCATACCAAAGCTTTTGTTGTTTCACGGGGGGGGGGGGGGGGGGGATATGTTTATAGACAAAAAACAAAAAACAAAAATGATTATTTTATCACAAATTTCAACTGGGTTTACAGCTAAGAAATTGTACTTTATCAATAATATATGTTTAGTTTTACAGGAGTTATTCGTACAAACAGATTTAAGGGCCATGCAGTGGCGTAGCTTGGGGTCCATCAATATGGAAGCATAAAACGGCAGGTGGTTGGGGGGATAGGGCCCCAATGTGACCAAGGCGAAGACCTAGTGGGACTCCGGGGGTAAGGCCCCCTGATAAATTGATGCGTTTTAGACAATTTTAAAGTCTCGAATAACCATAATTCTTCAATTTTAAATAGAATTATATAGCCTTATTCAATTTTAATTATTATTCGGTAATTTTTTTCTATATACCTTTTGTAGTAATATTTCTTAAAATATTGCTAGAAATGCTTTTTCGGGGAGTAAAAGCTTACGAATACATTTTTACGGAAGCCCTGGAGGGACATTGACTTACTTGTTATGACTTATTTGTTTTAAGTTATTACTTTTTTGTTGTAATTTTTTTTGCTGATTATAACTTAATGTAACGTAGCTATGGAGAATGTGTAGCTTGGCTTACGTTTATTATCAAAATCATATGTTTAATCTTAGTTTAACTGTGGTTTTTGATTGATTAATTGTAGTTTAACGCCCAGTACAGTTGTGACTACTAAATTCATATCTGTTAATATCTTGTAACTTAGTTGTTATAACTTAAATTTTATTTGTTAATTCTTATTTGTTGTTACTTAATAGTTATTGCTTAAATCTTATTTGTAACTTCCTGTTTGCATAATGATTGAACACATGAACATAACTACTATTTTATCTTGTCGTTAGTAATAAATTCAAAGGCAAAATATTACTTCATTCTTTTCTGAAACTACACGTAGCCTCCATCTGTCATGCCACGTTTTTGGGTTAAGTAAACGTGTGATAACAAATTTAAAATAACAAAAATTAACAAAGTCAAAAGAACTAAGTCAAAACACCTAAGAAAGCATGTTTTTGTTTTTGTTTTTTTTTTTTTTTTTTTTTTGTTTTTTTTTTTTTTACATATTCAGTAATATACAATTTATACGTATACGTAATATTATGCATCTCCTTTATAAATTTTTCTGGAAGTTTAAGTTTTTGAATTCATGTCTGTTTTCATAAAATCGAGTCTTAAAGTATAGCAGTTATATTCATAATACAATTTATTGATAAAAATTATAAATAAACGAAAGACGAAGAAAAAAATTACTATGTCCACCGAAATATCTGAATTTTGCGTAAAACCGACAAACAATACAAACAATATATCACAATTTTGCTACAAATCAGTATGTTCTACAGAATGTGTTTTAAATTTATTCCTATTTTAATATTCAAAGCATTTTAAATTTATTAATAGACTTCCTACCGAACAATGTGGAAGCACGTCCTTCTGTGCTTCCATGGAAACTACGCCACTGCCATTTATCAATATCCAAGAATATTTTAAAATCTGGTGATGTTTTGAGGTCTGATTTCAATGGAAAACATCGTCTACCCCCCTCATAAAAAGAGATGTATAATTAAGAGTAATTAATTATTTGACACTGGTATTAAAATTATTAATCAATTAACATTGAACTCTTCTTTGTATTCAAAGTAGTTTTAATGACCAAATTAACATAAGTATATATTGAATTAAATGGGTGTAAAATGTAGGCGGGAATCAAGAGTTAACGTGCGTAGTTCTTTGTCCGTTGTCTGTCGTTGTCGGAAACTTTTCACAGTTGTCGCAAACTTTTCACATTTTCATCTTCTTCTCAAGAACCAATGGGCCAATTTCAACCAAACTTGCCACAAAGTATCCTTAAGTAAAGGGGATTCAAGTTTGTTCAAATGAAGGGTCACGCCTTCTTCCAAGGGGAGATAATTATGAATTCGTGAAAAATAAATGGCATCATTTAAAATCTTCTCAAGAACCAATGTGCTTGAAAATATAAAACTTACATGGAAGCATCCTCAGGTAGTGTAGATTCAAGTTTGTTCAAATCATGACAGTCGCCCGCGTGGTGGAGTGGTAGAGCGTCTGCTCTAGATCTAGAATCGCGGAGTAAGGAGTTGATCCTTACGTCGCGGGTTTGAATCCCACTGTGGTACATGTACGTGGAAACCGGTCTTTCGGATGAGACCGTATAAACCAAGGTCCGTGTCGCAGTAGATGCTGGCACGAAAAAGATCCCTCACTGCTCAATGGCCCTCAGTGCCGAGTATAGGTCAAAATTTGCAGCTCTCCACCGGCAAGTGGTGGCGTCTCCATATGAGTGAAAAATTCTCAAGAGGGAGTTAAACAACAAACAAATCATGACCCCCAGGGGGCCACAATGGGCGATCAAAGTTTTACAAAGGAATATATAGGAAAAATCTTTAAAAATCTTCTTCTCAAGAACAGCAAATCAATGATTGGTCATATTTATACGAAAGCATCCTTTGGTAGTGTAGATTCAAGTTTTTTAAGTCATGATCCCCTAGGGTAGGGTGTAGCCACAATGGGCTATCAAAGTTTAACCACAGGAGTTCGCGTACCTATCAATTTTCCGAAATTTTCAGTAAATTTAAACAGGTATTAAGTATTTTTTTTTAATTTACTAAAAATTTCTGTGGTTTAACATAGGAATATATAGGAAAAAATCTTTAAAATCCTTCTTTTTAAGAACAGCAAAGTCAAGATCGGTCATATTTATTTGGAAGCATCCTTTGGTAGTGTAGATTCAGATTTTTTTCAAATCATGCCCCCCCCCCCCAAAGGAGAATAGAGGGGCCATACCAGGGGATCATAGTTATACAAAGGACTACAAAGGATATATCAATAAAAAATTTCTTCTTAAGAACAGCAAAGTCATTATTTGTCATATTAATTCAAAAGTATCCCTATGAAGTATAGATTCAAGTTAGTTCAAAATCAATCCCCCCTCCCCCCACCCCCACCACCACCACCACTTTTATATTTAAACTTTTCAAGACTGAACTGATTTCTGCTTTTTCCCAGCCATCATGATCGGGTAAACGGAACAATCCTTAGACAATTTAGTGTGTAAATAATGGCCGAACAATAAGTATGAAAAACGTCAGTCAGAATTCGACTTCATGATAATTGTATTTGCTGACAAGGTCATTGTATCGACAACAGATCTTGCGAAATGTTGACTTCAACAGAGACTGTTGATATCATTGTTTCATCAACTTTTTTGTCAATAGCTTTCCTCGTTTTAGAAACTGTTTGTACGTAGAGCATGCTTTTGCATATCGTACTATGACCGAATTAACTGGGAGACATAAACTCCATATGCAGGCGATAAGGGTATATTGGCATATTTGCTATACAGATATGAAAGAAGTTGACGGTAGAAAAGTTGAAGTCATCGATCACGTTTATCATAAAGTTTTGTTGTTAGATTACTATTAAAGTCTTCCTAGTAAAATATCCAAATATGAAACAGATGTGTCAGACTCTGTCAATCTTTTATTTCAAGTTCACTGATAATACGTCGTCGATATATCTAAATGTCGCGTTAGAGGCCACAGCAAATGTTTTCTTCTCATGTAGAAATTTTGAATAAATTTTGCTTCATATGAATACAAAAATAGATCTGCTAATAAAGGATCGCAATTGGCACCCATGTGAATTCCTACAGATTGTTGGAAGACTTGATTTCCAAAAACTACATTATACGAGTCTTTTTAACAAACACTCTGTATGCCGCCTTATATAAATATATGTCTGATC